TTGGAACGAGGTAATAGACCAGATGCAGACACACTGGGCCGAATGGCCACCTCCTGTTCTGTAACAATTCTGTGAACCACAGTAAGGAATGATGTATCTGCATTTAAAATGGAGGTCCATTTTTCAGAGTGGAGTAAATGCTGCTCTGCTGTAAAGTGATATCTATGTGAGACTCTGCTCCTGGCACCCAATTTGGGCAGGGCTAGATTACCATGCATTCTTTTGGACATTACTGCAAGGAAACTGATGTGAAATCTGTGAGTATCACACCCATATTCTGGTTTTCAGAATGTAGGAAGCATTCTGGATGGGTCTAGAAGAGCTACAAATAGCAGAATCCTTACCAGCACCCTTCATCTGAACAAAATATGAGTTGTGGTTACAAGTTGCAATGGAATTCCATGTTGAATTCTGAAGACATTCACTCTGTTTCTCTCTCCACAAAATTTTAAATTTGTTTCAGATGAAATAACTGCATAGAGGCTGGTGTCCTATCACCAAGTCTCCTTTTATTTACATGTGTGCAGTACGCTAGCTGTGACCAGCTAACTCAGAGTCAGTCCCTGAAGTAAGGAGACTCTCTGAATCTCCTGTTTATATCTGTTTCCCAGGGCTCCGTGATTGGCCCAGGTTAATAGCCCCAGTCAATGAGATCCACCTGGCTCCAATCACTACACAGATTTCCAGCAACATCAATATTTTGCGCTTGTTTTATTTTCAATGTCATGGACACCTGACATGTATCAGTGTAGGACTGCCTACACAATGCAGACCGCTGAAATTTGAGAAAAAGGTCCTGCATTTCTATAGCACCTGTCAGAAACCTTAGGGGAGAACTAAAGCATTTGATACCCAACAACATACTTTTGAAGCTTGGTCACTGACCTAATGTATGAAATGTGAGAGCCAGTTGATGCACAGCAAACTCCCACAAACAGAATTCTATAAAAGACCAGATGATCTGTTTTTAGGTTTTGGTTGAGGAATAAGCACTGGAGAGCGCCCCTGTTCTTCAAAGTAACACTTTTTTTTTTGCATCTACCTAAGATGGGGTTGGAGTTTAATATTTCCTTTCAAAAGAGGGCACCCCCAACGTTGCATTACTCCTTCATTTTGCAGTAAAGTGCTTGGGTCCCCGGAGTGGAAGTGAAATCCATAACCTTCTAATCGTGGGGGTTGGAGGTGGTGGTATAGATAAGGTGAATATCAGATGTCTTTTCACTAGAGTGGGGGAGTTCCAAACTGGCAGGCATATTTTTAAGATGAGAGGAGAAAGATTTAAAAAGGACATGGGGGGGAGGGCAACATTTTTTTTAACAGTGTGTTAATAAGTATGGAGTGAACTTCCAGAGGAAGTGTCGAATATGGGTACAATTACAACGTTTAAAAGACATTTGGATAAGTACATAGAGCTGTACAGCACGGAAATAGACCCATTGGTCCAACTAAGAAAGGTTTGGAGAGATATGGGCCCAGCACAGGCAGGTGCTACTAGTTTAGTTTGGGATTACAGTCTGCATGGACTGAAGGTTCCATTTCTGTGTGTATGACTCTATGACTGAGGTAATGGGGCTATCACTGACTTGAACTGAATGATTTATTATCACTTGTATTGAACAAATAAAAACAGTGATAAGAGTAACATGTCACCATGGTGCCATTTTGAGTTACAGAAGTTACTAAAATATAACTAAACAGAGTTCTACCTCCCTCCTTGTGCTCTGCTCGAAATCAGGTTGGGGTGGTGTCTCCATAACGGGCTCCGTGCCCATCTATGCCCCAACAGGCACCACTTCACAGAAAAAGGGCCCACACTACCTTATGTGCAACTATGGATAGACAAGAAATGCTGCCTTTGGTTAAACCCAATAAATTGCAATTTATTATGCCAGTAAACTGGCTGTTAACTGTTACACTGAGAAACTGCAAATGCTGATTTAAACTGTGGTAAGGTAAATGTGGAGAGGCAAACCGCAAATATAAATGCATAAAATAATGTCTCTTTCCTCACTCCTGAGTGACGGTAACAAAATGTGAACTATTGTTAATTAATAAAAGCTGCTTTCCAGTTCCACAGAAGAGTCATATTGGACTCCAAACATTAACTCTGTTTCTCTCTCCACAGATACTTCCAGACCTGCTGAGTTTCTGCAGCACTTTGTTTTTATTTCTTGCCTGACTTCCTGCTATACTGAATTTCATCTTTTAACTATGATCTCTTTTCTCTCTATGATTCTTGACCTTCCTTCTTGTTGGTGGATTGATGACCAATTCCTGCACAGAGGTTATACGGGCTGGTTAATGGTTTTTTAGTGCAAGCAGCATTCCGAGAACGATCTGGAACATCTCTGCTTGAAACGTCCCTAAATTTCCCGTAATCATTAAGCCACAGGATGAAATCTGGTTCAATAAAAAGAGTTGAAAGAGAGTATATTGGGAGCAGCACCAGGCACATCTAACCACTGTCACCCTGGTGAAGCTGCAAAACAGGACTTCTTGTATGCCGACAAGTGGAAGTAATATGTCATATGCTTAACTAAGTAATCGCACAAGCAATAGACTAGATCCAAACTTTGCAGTACAGCCACATTCAGGCATCAGTGGCAGCGGGCTAAGTATCATCATAAACAGTGCACAGGATGAGCCTGAAACGTTTGCAAACCTCTTCAGTATGAAGTGCTGAGAGGTTGATCTGTGTCTGACTCCTTCTAAGATCCCCAGCATCGTAATGCCATTTGTCAGCCAATTTGATTCGCTCTATGCAATTAAGAAATGGCAGAAGGCACTGCAAAAACTGTGGGACCCTGACAACTTTTTGGAGGCAGTACTGAAGACTTTTGCTTCACATTAGAAACAAGTATACATGGACTATGAAAAACTGGAAGATAGAAGTTTGGACAATTTTAAGTTCGAGGGTTTACAATGTGACATTTTGGAACTTAGAACTGTATGAAAAGATAGAGCATTGTGAAATAGTATCCCACAATGTTATTAAAGAGTTAAGAGAAAAGTTTCAATCTAAAGATCTAGGTCTAACTCTCCTTCTACCTGAGTATTCTATTCTGTCAGTTTGCACTTTTGAGCCTCAAGGCTGTTGTGGTTTTGTTTCCCTGAACTTTTTTTTTCCCCTAAACTGATAATATCTCTGTAAAGATATTATCATTTTGTCTTGACTGTGTATCAATATGTGTGAATGTGGAGGGATCAAAAGTAATATTTAACATTTTATGTCTGCATAGTAGCTTTAATTGATCATTCATTTTGCCACTTTTTAAAGAATAAGTTTGTTTTTAATGACCAAGTTGTTATTTTTCAATATATTTAAAAAACCATTGAAAGTCTGTTGTTCTGGATAACAGTAATAAAGAGAAACAAGTCGATTATTTTGGTGATAAAATGAAACGTTTACACTTCTTGTATGGCATTGTGAAGCAGTGACGCTCACAGTGTACTCAGAATCTTAACACTAACATCCAGAATTAGCTGTGTGTTCAGATACACTGTTACAGTAGAGCTACAACACTTTCAAAACTACTGAAGCATGTGCTGTCCACAAAAAACAGAACAAATCCAACCAGTTCCTCAGTTTACCTTTACTCATCAGCAAAGTGTTGGTAAGGGGTCATTTGAAGTGCTTTCAAACAGCACTTGCACAGCAAAAACCTGCTCATGAGCCCCCAGTCTGCTTTGGTGGAACACAACTGACTTCATTACAGCCTTAATCTCAGCAAGGACAAAGGAGTTGAAGTCTTGAAAAGGTGAGAGTGATTGCCGTTGACATCAAGACAGCATTCACCAGAGTATGGCATCAAGAAACTAGCAAAACTGAAATTGACGGGGAGCAGCGCGAAAGGAGTCTTGTGAATTGGAGTGAGCCCAGTACCAAGAAAGATGGTTGTGTTTGTTGGAGGTTAATCATCCCTTTGCCAGGATATCATTGCAAGGGTTCCTCTGTGCATTGTCTTATGACCAGCACTCATCACCTTTTGGATCAGATCAGAGGTGAGGATGTTCACTGATAGTGCTAAACATTGCACAAACAGACTCCACAGAAATGTGAGCAACCTGTGCCCAGATGAGGAAAAACAAATAATATCCAGGCATGGGCTGACAAGTTGCAAGTAACATTTGTGACACACAAATGGCAGGCATTCGCTAACTCGAACAAATAGAGCATCTAACCATCTCCCCTTGACATCAGTGACATTATTGTCGCTGAATCTCCAATTGTCAATATTCTGGGGATGGGGATTGGCATTGACTAGAAACTGAACTGAACCAGCCATATAATTACAGTGGCTACAAGAGTAGGTCAGAAGCTGAGGTTCTGTGGTGAATGACTCACTTCCTGACACCCCAAAGCCTTTCTGCCATCTCCAATGCACAAATCAGGAATATGATGGAATACTGTCCACTTGTCTGGATGGGTTCAGCAACATCTCTCAAGAAACTCCATACCTTCTGGGTCAAAGCAACCCACTTGGCTGGCTGGCAGGCAGTCACTCCCTTTACCACTCATTGTGTGCCATCTACAAGATGTACTGCAGTCATTAATGAAGGTTCCTTTGGCAACATCTTCCAAACCTGTCACTTCTACCACCCAGATGAAGAAGGGCAATTGATGGATGGGAACATCGATGCCTGAAGTTACCCTCCAAGCCACACACCGCACTGACCTGGAACCACATTGCAGTTTCCTCTTTACCACTTTCAGTATCCTGGAACTGCCTTCCTAACAGGACTGAATGTGCACTGTAGATCACATGGAGTGCAGCAGTTGAAGAAGGTAGCTCACTACCACTTTCTTGAGGGCAACATCCCAAAAAGGGAATTATGGAAAAAAAATTTCTATTGAAGTCCCAATACGTTAGGTTGCATCTGAATTTTCCTTAAGTTTCATTTGGTGTCTTTTAAGCAACACCACCCACTAATCCCACTACTGAATGTAATGTTTTGTTCTATGTCCAACATTGTCTAAAATAATGCCTCTCTCTTTTAAGGAATAATAACGAGGGCATCAGTGTGGCTTAGCTTCCCAGATTTAGTTAGAAGAATCTCACTTAATGGAACTGAAATGTGGCCGACAGCTTTCTGTGTCAGCAGCGCTGTGAGTAGGGTTTGCTCTGAAGCTTTTGTATTGAATATTTATTTGTTTCCTTGTTCCAGTTAAGCAACTAAAACAAGTTTGTGAATTGTCACTGTCGCCCAGCAGATTTGGATTCAGCTGTTCTACAGTGCCACCTTCTGGTGGCTATTCTACTATGCTGTGGATGCTTATCTTGTTGTGAAGCGATCTTCTGGGCTAAGGTAACTTTACAGAATATAACTATTAACAAAAGGTTTACAGGAGCTTAGTATATTCCAGTTAAAAATGATCACAGATTTACAAGTAATAGCATTAAAAGTGTTTTATAATTTATTGCTTCTAAATGTTTCAGTGCTTAAAAGTGTTTCAGCACTCTACATTTGTAATATGATTGAGGTATCAGTAGGAAATACCACCCTCCAGTAATTCAAAATGTTCAACTTATCTAAAGAGCATTAATGAAACTGGGTTATAGCACACTGAGACCTTCATCATAAATGAACCAATTCCAGGGACACAATTCAGTGAAAAGTTGGAATCAGGCACGGAAGTAATGTGGACTTTTTTTTAAAATGCTGTGCAACAGGTTTATTGAGAAGTTGCTGAAGTATGAAACAGAAATTGGTAGTGTCAATTATCCTAAAGAGAGAAGGGACAAAGGATTTTACAAAGAGATGAGATTGACATTAATTGGAAAAGGATCAACTTAATGTCATTTTCCCAATAACCTTATTTCCACATCAGGTTACAGTCACTAGACTTGTTTTGCTTTTGGAAATTTCTGGGAAGGTAACATTAAACTTTCTGAATCACAGTTGTGATTCACTTGTGATTTCTCTCAATTACAGTCTTCATTTTTTTGTGCTTATGATTCATGTGGGAAATTTAAGCATGCAAAGCAACTTACAATTTATCATCAAATTCAAAATACAACTTTAAAAATAATAAATGTCTGGAAATTGTTATCTTGAGTATTTCACTGCAGCATACTGTAGCACACAATGTTGAAATCATTAGCATTGCCTTCTAGATATTTGGAAACAGAACAACCGGGGAATATATTGCATCATTAAAACCTTCTTTAACTCATGACTAAATACATTTTTTAAAATATGACTAGTCCCCAGTGGTGATTTGTTCTCTATCACTTGGGTATAAATTATAACTCCTAAAAGAAGCTGCAGTCCCAGAATTATATTAAGTGTTGTTAGGTTTTATTCTGAAGTCTGTTTTGCTTAAGGCCATTAAATAAACCAGTCTTCAAGATCACTTTGTAATTTGGGCTTGATAGGAATTGCGAGAGACTAGCGTTGTCTGTCGGCCTATGGCTGCTAATGTGGGTATCCATGACTGATGACTACTGGACCCAGCACTGACTAATTCATGTTGCCATCTCCATCAACCTGGCCCCAAACCAGTAGAGGCAGAGAAAACTCTGCTGCAGGAGACTCAATGTTGTTGGAGTCAAAGACCCTGAGAAGAAAGTCCAATTCAGGCAGTGTCTCTCTGCCAACCTGGCAACGTCCAACATGCCAGAGCTGTAGTGTCCTCAGCACCTGGCCCATCCTAATCCTCTATTAATTTGTGGGATGTGGGCATCGCTGGCTGACCAGCATTTCTTGCCCATCCCTGGTTGCCCTTGAAGGTGGTGGTGAGCTGCCTTCTTGAACCGCTGCATTCCTCCTGCTGTAAGTTGACCCACATTGCCATTAGGGAGGGAATTCCAGGATTTTGACCCAGCAACAGTGAAGGAATGGCGATATATTTCCAAGTCAGGATGGTGAATGGCTTGGAGGGAAACTTGGAGGTGGTGGTGTTCCCTTATATCTACTGCCCTTGTCCTTCTAGATGGAAGTGGTTGTGGGTTTGGAAGGTGCTGTCTGAGGATCTTTGGTGAATTTCTGCAGTGTATCTTGCAGATAGTGCACACTGGTGGTGGAGCGAGCAGTTGTTTGTGGATGTGGTGCCAATCAAGCAGGCAGTTTTGTCGTGGATGGTGTCAAGCTTCTTGAGTGTTGTTGGGGCTGCACTCATCCAGGCAAGTGGGGAGTATTCCATCACACTCCTGACTTGTGCCTTGTAGATGGTGGACAGGCTTTGAGGAGTCAGGTAGTGAGTTACTCGCCACAGTATTCCTAGCTTCTGGCCTGCTCTTGTAGCCACCGTGTTTATGTGGTGAGTCCAGTTGAGATTCTGGTCAATGATAACCCCCAGGATGTTGATAGTGGGGGATTCAGTGATGGTAATGCCATTGAATATCAAGGGGTGCTGGTTAGATTGTCTGTCTATTATTGGTGTGGGTCATAGCCTGGCATTTGTGTGGCATGAATGTCACTTGCCATTTGTCAGCCCAAGCCTGGATGTTGTCCTGATCTTGCTGCATTTGAACACGAACTGCTTCAGTATCTGAGGAGTCAGGAATGGTGCTGAACATTGTGCAATCATCGGCGAACATCCCCACATTTGACCTTTTATGATGGAGGGAAGGTCATTGATGAAGCAACTGAAGATGTTTGGTCTGAAAATACTACCGTGAGGAACTCTCTTGCAGAGATGTCCTGGAGCTGAGGTGGTTGACCTCCAACAACCACGGCCATCTTCCTATGTGTCAGGTAGGACTCCAACCACCAAAGTGTTTGCCCCCTGATACTCATTGATTCCAGTTTTTCTAGGGCTCCTTGATGCCACACTCAGTCAAACACAGCCTTGATATCAAGGCCTGTCACTCTCTTGTCACCTCTAGAATTCAGCTGTTTTGTCCATGTTTGAACCAAAGTTGTCATGTGGTCAGGAGCTGTGTGGTCCTGGCAGAACCCAAACTGGGTGTCACTGAGTGCGTTATTGCTGAGCAGGTGCTGTTTGATAGCACTGTTGATGACACCTTCCATCACTTCTTACGGATTGAGAGTAGATTGGGGTAGTTATTGGCTGGGTTGGATCTGTCCTGTTTTATTTCTGTGTACAGGGCATACTTGGGCAATTTTCCACATTGCCGGGTAGATACCAGTGCTGTAACTGTGCTGGAACAGGTTGGCTAGGGGAATACCAAGTTCTGGAGCTCAAGTCTTCAGTACTATTGCTGGAATATTGTCAGGGCCTGTAGCCTTTGCAGTATTCAATGTCTCCCACTGTTTCTTTATCACGTGGAGTGAATCGCATCGAATTGGCTGAAGACTGGTATCTGCAGTGCTGGGGACCACTATAGACAGCACCTGTGTGAAGATGCTCAGCCTCTGAACCTGGAAACACCGAGACTGATTTGGCAAGAATGATCAGGAGACATGGGAAATCCTAGATCACACATGCAAGGCATTCCTGAACTGGCAGATCTACCAAACCTGATTGAGAGGAAACGAGCCTAGAGAGAACTGAAAGGTGAAGTCCAACAAAAAAAATACCTGTGACCTGCAGAGCAGATGGTGAATGGAAAGGGAACAGGAGCCTCAGTAAGTCCCTGACAGATGTGATGTGTGCAACTTCTTCAGCGCAGTCAAAGCTGTCTACAAATCAGAGTACCCAGGGACCTACTCCACTGAGAGCCAAAAACGGAGAGTCGCTCTTCAAAGACTGAAGGTCAATGCCTGCAGGAGAATGAATTCAAGGACCACCTCAACCAAGATATAGGCTTCAATGCGAGTGCTCTCGACACCATACCGCGGCACATTACTTGCTGCCATCTCCATGCACTCTGAACCTGCCATGAGGTCAACACCATCCAACAGCTGATAAACAACAAGGTCTCCAGCACAGATGGAATCCTTGCTAAAGGATCAAAATATGAAACTTGAAAGGGCTCAAAAGATGTACAACGATGTTGCTGGGGTTGGAGAGTTTGAGCTATAGGGAGAGGCTGGATAGACTGGGGCTATTTTCAATGGAGCGTCAGAGGCTGAGGAGTGACCTTTTTATAGAGGTTTATAAAATCATGAGGGGCATGGATAGGGTAAATAGACAAGGTCTTTTCCCTGGGTTGGGGGTGTCCAAAACTAGAGGGTATAGGTTTAAGGTGAGAGGGGAAAGATTTAAAAGGGACCTAATGGGGCCACTTTTTCAGAGGGTAGTGCATGTATGGAATAAGCTGCCAGAGGAAGGAATGGAGGCTGGTATTACAAAGTTTAAAAGGCATCTGGATGGGTACACGAATAGGAAGGGTTTAGAGGGATATGGGCCAAATGCTGGCAACTGAGACTAGATTTATTTAGGCTATCTGGTCAGCATGGATGAGTTGGACTGAAGGGTCTGTATCCGTGCTGTACATTTCTATGACTCTAACAGCGGAAAAGCACTTCTGTCACAAATCCACAAAGTTATTGCCCATATCTGGAAGGAAAGGAGCATGCTGGGAGATCTCTGATGCTGTAATTGTGAGCTGTCCAACTGTGGAAATTACAGAGGGATCTCCCTCTGTTGGTCGCAGGAAATGTCAATGTGAGAATCCTCCTCAACTACCTCCTCCCAGTGGTTGAAGTGCTCCTCCCTGAGTCTGTGTTACTTCTGCCCATCAAGAGGCATGATGGGCCTGTTTTTCAGTGTGTGATAAATCCAAGAAAAGTATAGGCTTCTTTAATCTCACAAAGGCCTTCAATTCTGAAAACTGTGGGATTGTGGGATATTCTCACCGTTCTCAATGACCTACAAGCTATGATCTTCAACAGATCCACCATAGGCACAATTCAAGCGTGAACTGGGGTCAAGGCAGGGCTGCGTCATCACACCCAACATTCTTTTCCATCTTACTGCAGCTGTCCCCTCACCGCCACCACCACCACCACCCCTGCCCCCCTACCCCCGCCCCGGCCGCCCACACCCCCCAATCCATGAACCACCCTGCTGGAATAAAGCTAACCTACAGGACGAATGGAAAATGGTTCAACCTTCACCTCCACATCAGAACCAAGACCACCCGAAATTCTGCCATCAAGCTTCAGTCTGTAAACAATGTCTGCCTGTATGTGCGCACACTCAGTGGCCAAGTTACAATCCACCATTGACCCATTCACCGAGGGCTGTGAGAGCATGGGCCTCAGAATAAACATCTAGAAAATGAAGGTTCTCTACCAGTGCACTCCTGTTATGTGATCCTGCTCCTCACCCCCCATCTCCCTCGATCATCAAAATCCACAGTGAGCCAATGGACAACATTGATTGTTTCCCATACCTCAGCCTCCTCTCAGTGTGAGCAAACGTTGACGATGAAATCCAGCATTGACTCCAATGTGTC